ATACTCTACTTGATACTTTACGATATGTTATACTAAAGAACTACCAAGACAATTGCTTCACTTCTATGGTTGGAAAAAGGCTCTAAGTTTTGGTTTCTATGGTATCTCATAATGAGCTTACTTTACAGACTGTTTTGCTTTGCTGTTATCGTTGTTTTCCTTAAATTATTTTGTTTTTTCTTTGGTTTTTCTGTTTTTTTGTTTTTGTTTTTGTTCGTTTTGTTTCGTTTTTCCTATTAAAACTAGGCAATACAATTTTGAGGTACTTCTACCCAATCTAATAACAGTAGCTCACATGTAATAAGACTCTAAACGCTACAATATACTTACTGGTTTGACATAGTCAAAATTATATCTTATATATCGTTAGGACGTTGCATTTCCTATTTTACTAAAGCATCGGCCAACTAGTATTTTCTGTCGCCTAACTTTTCATCCTTCCTTATCGTTTTATTTAACTATATCAATTTGAGTATATCTTGGTTACAACTTTTAAGTAAGAGACTACTCTTGGATTTTTTCCTAGTTTCTGCTTCTCAGGTCATGATCACAGACAGCATAAACATGTTTTTCTATTTTTTTTTCTGGATGGATTGTTCCAATATGCGTGTCACAAGTAGAGTTTTTTTTTCTGTTTTGGCAATTTTGTGATTTGATGACAACGATATGGATACATTACCACAACCGAATTCCTACAACATCACTTTAGAAGTTCTTTGTCGCTCTGTCTCAGTGAACTGAATCTCCTGTGTACGTCCCCAGCTTTTCCCTTCCTTTCCCTCAATGAAATCAGGATTTCTGAGAATGGAATGCTGACATACACGGGCTATTTCAAGTATTTTCAGTAGATTTTAGCGAGAAACATTTTAAGGATTGAGGAACGAACTCAATTTTACCTAATACGATACTTTTGAGTTCCTCGGTAACCCTTAGTGGTGAGGTAAAATCAAGTTGCCAGACTCTCTACTTTTCCCCTAATATTTTGTGCCTCACGAGAGACTTAGAATCGAGGTACTCGGCCATATTTCGTTCAAGCGGTTTAGTTGACGACTCCGATCAACAATTACTCTTTTGAATTCATGAATCTCTGCGGGCAACTGAGCCACGAAATGTATAACGTTATTCAAATATTTTCTATAAAACATCTGAACTCCTAATTAAATGGTTGTCGCTCAGTTTGAGGTTTTAACAACAAAACCTAAGACGAAGGATAACTTTTAAACACCTAAAAAGAAAGGGGTCTTGTCATGTGTCTTCTTATGGTGTTACTTTATGCTAATCAAGTGCTAATTGAACTTTGTGTGTCCTCAATATGGTTATAAGTTTCGACTGAGTCTGAATGGTTTTTCAAAATAATTTCGTCTTATGTCCAATACTTCTTGAAATGGTCTTGGAATGGCATGTTGAGTGATTTTCTCAGATAATTTTAGTCCTATGTCCAGTGTATGTAAAGTTTTTTCGTTAGGCTAAACGCATCCTTTGTAGCTGTAGCTGTAGCTGTAGCTGTAGCTGTAGCTGTAGCTGTCAGCTGTCTTTGGAGGGCTTTCCCTAAATAACCGAAGTGGAGTGTGAAGTGCACACGGTAGTAATTCAAGCACAGAAGTTAATTCCCGTGCGTTTCCAATGTTGTTTTAGCTGTGGGCTATATCTGGGTGTCTTCTTCAGATACCTTAGGTCTCACGCTCGAATAAGTCAACCGCAGATGAACAGTTTTTCATTTTAAGTTCAACATATCCTGTGTCGTTTTAGCTCTCAGCTGTTCACAATGTATAGGTAACCCCGAGGAACTGTAGTCACATTATCCAGTGTATACTGTTATGTTTCAAGTGCAGACGTTAAATCATGTATCTTCGTTTTTGCAATTCGAATGTTGTTGTAGCTCTGGCCCCGGTAGTGCGAAGCTTGGATAACGCTATCCATCGGATAAATCTCTATCGATGGATTGCGCAGCACGTTTTGCTATTACTTATCCGCTGGAAATCGATTTATCCGTTGAATAGAATTATCCACCCCTGGGTCTAGTTGTTCAAAGGCAGATTAGCGCAAACCCAGGGTTAAATTTTAATCCAGGTTTCTATATTTCTCTATAAAAGCCTTTTTTCAGAATTTTTTTTATTATTAATTTTAGAGTATCTAGAGTTTCTTATTCTGATTCGAATAAAATCAAAGTGCTCTGTGAG